GCTACTCCCTCCTTGCCATTGGTAACACGAGGGGGCCTGCTGCCACGACACATCATTTAACCTGACCATCACGTCTGATTTACAAAAACACCATTCAGGTTCCCTTTCACTGAAACAACCTCTGCATTTTGTTATGGTGTGAAACTCAACGTGAATAGCCCCCTTGGTTCGAGCTCCTTGCTAATGCAGAATATGTCGCTTCAGGGTAAAAGAAACAATTGATCTGTTAATTATGTGCTCGTATGCTTGTGTTTTGTGGCAGGATAGACCGCAAAACTTTATCTGTTAATTCACTCCAAGAGGCCTCAGTAAGACTGTCAGACCCGCCACTGGCAACACACAGTACGTGGAGTCTCGTTTGATTCTGCAGTTTCAATACAGCCCCAATGATTGCCTTAAAATAATAATCCTTGCGTTAGAAATAACACTTTGTCAGGTCATTGAAATGTCTCAAAGGGCTGAACAGGATTTACTGTAAAGTGAGTCACTGTGTACTATGTAGGTGAACTCGGCTGCCAATTGCATAATGCAATGTCCCACAAATAGGAATGAGTGGATTGTTGGCCAGGACACCAGGAGAAACTCCCTTCACTTTTCGAATAATGACACAGGATGTATAACGGCCACCTGAACGGGCAGATAGGATCTCGGTTTAACGTCTTAAACAAAGGTGGGCAGACAAAGCAGCACTCCCCAGAACTGCACTAGAGAAACACGTGAGTTCAAAGTCCTGACGTGGGGCTCGAACCCATAACCTTCAGACTCCGAGGTGAGAGTGTTATCAATTGATCCAGGCTGACGCCTTATTTTATGCTGCGTTTATTCTATTTCACTCGCTGCATTTAGGCCGTCACTGAAAGGTACTCGTGTGTTCCATGGTTAGTACATCAAATGGGTTCTGATAACACCATAAACCACTTGACTTGTTCCATTATCCCAACTCGAGTGCTGTGCTGCGTTTACACAGCCAGGAATGAAGCAGAACAGAGTAAGGTGTTAGGCTGTCTGCTCAAGTTTGCTTTCAGTCGGGGATGCGAGTGGTGGGGGTGTTGGGTTGTGGGTTCGTGTTGGTGGGGTTGTGTAGAGTTGTAAAAGCACTACTTATAAAACTTGGGTTTGCTTCTGCGAGTACCTAAAAATGTTTAATAACATTTTAAATATCCTAATCTCAAGGTTGCTGAGGGTGTCATTTGGATGGTCCGAGATCCTTGAACGGATCACGGGGAAGTAAGTAAGCCCAGCGTAATTCACACTGGACTACTCCAGGCCCCCGGGGATATGCAGAGGAGAGCAACGAGGATGTTCTGCCAGGGTTAGAAGAATGAGCTTGGAGCACATCAGAGGTCACTTTATGGACGAGTATAAGATTTTAGATGAGATTGAGAAAATAAACCCAAAACGTTGTGGCAGTGAAAGTGTTAATGCCAGCGGAGTGGAATGCCATTCAAGCTTTGGGCTGGTGTAAAGGTGTAACAGAGATGTGTCCTTGTTACTTGTTAACCCGCTTAAGGGATGATTAATGGCCTTGCCTGTACAACCGCTGTACAAATGTGTCAGGTTTCAATAACATTGATCTGTGTGATGTTAACGCTGACTTGAAGTCATGGCTGAAGTTGTCTAAAGGTTGAATGGAGTTGGTTTTCGCTGAGACCGACTGTTTGTTGGGTTCAAGACAAAGTCGGGATGGCTTCTGTAATTCAGTGGATCATTATAAACTGAACAACGTTACATCAATTCTCTTTAACTTTACATGCTCTGAGCACCAGCGATTAATTTCCAAGAAAAACATTTGGCTGTGAAGGATGTCCAGGGAGGATGTCTCGAAGTGTTGCAGAGAGCGAGGTGAAAGCTCGTTGAGTTGCTACCCTGTGTGAGAGGCACTATGTAGATGCAAGTTGTTGTTGTTGTGGTGGTTAAAAGCTCACTCACCGATGGTGGGGAAGATCAGCTAGGGGGACATGAAGCAGGCTGGTGTTTGCTGAGTGAAGGGAGTGGTTTGGACAGTAGGGTTGTAGAGTGGGGGGATTGGGGTGGGGTTGGAGCAGGGGAACGAGTCTGTGGAGGAAGAGAAAGTGAGGAGTGGGGTGGGATGTTGAACAAAGGTTTTAAGTGGGTTTTGAAGGTGGAGAGAATCAGCCGATGGCGACAGAATGCCAAATGTCGCAATTATTGTGGTGTGAGACTAATCTCGCTCTGCTGCTCGCTGGTCACTTGGAAGCAGCTGTGGTTCAGAGCTGACGGGAACTTTGGTCATTCCTTTCCTTACTCTCCCTCAATGAAGATTGGAAAGTAACATATGAGTGATACAGTTCAGAAACTGGCCAATCGACTCAACTAGTACATGGCAGCGCTTTTAATCCACATTGGTCCTCATCCCCTTTCCTCTCTTCCCTTCTGCCTCATAAATGCATCAAGTTCTCCCTTACTATTTGCTTCAACCACAGCTTCCAGGAGTGAGTTCCACACTCTCACCAGCCTCTGAGTGAAGAAGTTCCTCCTTAACTTCCTATTAGATCTACCATTGGCTATTTCGATACCTTCTAGATTTGGACGCACCAACAAATGGAAACAGCTTGTCTACCTTATTGAATCCTTTCGTAATCTTAAACACCGCTCTCTTGTCTCAAATCTAAGAGAAAAATCAGTAAACTTTCCCCCCCAGCTCTGCTCGAACTAGTTGTAAGAGCGTCAATATCCTTGAGAGAGTGTGGTTATTAGTTATTATCAAAACACAGTTAGAGCGATGAATCTAGCAGTTTTAACTTGCCTTAGACTAAAAGAATCACACTGCTGTCTTTCTTTTTATTGTAGCAGTGCATTGTAATGGGATATTGTCCTGCGTTCATCTTCTATATAAATTTATAATAATAAAATGACAATATCTGTCGGCACTTCAACAAGGATCAAAATAACCAATTAAAGTAAAGACATGATTTAAACATCATCGCAAAGGTCTGGTAACTGGGAGTGACCTGGGCATATTTGTTTTCGGGTATCTCCTATCATTCAGGAGTTATTTTCAGTTTTGCGTTTTTCGCTACAGTTACACCTGGTGGCCGCCAAGTCAAAGTGGTGCTGTGGCATCGTGCGTCACAGAGCACGTATGTAGCCAAGTGGCAGGAATAAAATGCAACGCAGACGAAGCTAAGCCGTGGTAACAATAACAAAATTACATTTTTAAAGTGCCGAGTCCTCCCACTGAGTCCTCCCAACAGAGGTCCACCCAGCTGAGTATAGATAAGGATGAAATGTTTCTGTATGTGTCTGTCTGTGTGTCAATCTACATTCCATATTGGATCCTTTGGTTGCAAGTGAAGCTGCAATGGGTCAAACTACACCATTATTAAGAGCTCCAAGATGCGATCCTGCGTGAAGGGTGCTATATAAGCGCAAGTTGTTGCTTATGAGCTACCAACATGCAACCGAACTCTGGATGGAGACCTGTTGAAAGTCTAGGTGAAATCTCATTCCAGGAGCAATTCACTTTACATTTGCTCAATCATGTTGGCAGTCCGAAAGCCCTCTCTCGCTCCTTCTCTTCCCAGAAAATTGAATTGTTTTCGCAGCTGTTAAACGCCAGAAAGAATAAGGAGCAAATGGGGGTAACCAGGATCAGTTATTATTACCTTGCCAGAAAGTGGAAATAAATCCAGCCACCAGGAAGCTATAAATCATCGATTGATGCTGTAATGCAAACCGCTTTAAGATGAAAATAATTCAAGGCCAGCGATCCCATGCCCGTATTCTAGAAAAGCAGCCTAGACCGCGTTATTGGCGATTTGTCTTGCGTCTTGAGTTATACCCAGAGGAACCCTAAAGAGTTGCAGCTGACTTTCTGAAAACTAAATGATTTGTAAGTGATATGTGGACAGGAAGGAAGCCACAGCCTCCAAGCCAGATCAGCTTGGAGATCGATGCAAGGACAAACTATTGTGTCCTGGTGCTTTCACCCGAGCTGAGCAGCGTAAGCCACCCCACCGAGGCCTGCAGGACCATTTTTGCCTTGAAATGTTTAAGGTTGTGCAGGATTATGGCGAATTCTTAAATCTGGACCTAATTTGGAAGCTGGCACCACCTCCTGTGGGCTTCACATGCACTACACAGGAAGTGGCGTCGACTGTGACCTGGCCACCTAAACCCGAACTGATCTTGTGATCTTGTGACCACGTTTTCTGGAAACAGATTAGCCAAACAGTACTTTTCTACAGCGTGAAGTAAGATCGGGGGCTTGGGGCAAATATTGACATGGGTGGGTTGCTGTCAGCTCCCGGTTCTGGCAGCGATCAGAATCAGTAAAGAGGGCACCAACCGGTTGCTAAAGGGCATCTATCAGTCTATTCCGTCTTCCTAGTAACAATAAAAAGAGTTTGTTTTCAGAATATTGTGCAATAAGTACATTTCGCCTCCATGGCTCCAATTTTGATTCTTAGTTTTTGACGACTGAGAGAGAGCTATATTTATCAAAAGTTCTTACTCGTAGGTCTGTTTGAGATGTTTAAATAAACTGCATGCCACGTAATCGTTTACACACATCAACTCAGTGACAAACTTTCATGCACGCGATGAAAGACATCTCCTGTAATAGCCGCACACTCTCGACCAATGTGGTCTTTTAAAAAAAACATAATTAATATTTCAAAACTCTGTGAGTAAGGACTTGTGATCCACCCTGTTTATTTATTTTTCTCTCGCTTTCTCCATCATTTTAAAACTTCTCAGTTGGAAACGAAAAAAAAATGTCCGGTGCCACCCAAAGTGAACCTCAAGGGGGGTCGCTAACCACATCTAAATGACTTAAGACGACCGAAATGCTGGAACAGAGTTAAAAAGATTTTACCAATTTACTTTTTTTTAATAGCGTTCATGTCATGTTTTAGGTAAAAGCACAGGCAGGTGTCTTTAAAGCCTTCCCCCACTTCCACCCCACCTCCCCCTCACCCTCGCCTTGTCTCTTTGATGTGGTTTCTGTCAGTCACCGGTACTTTGTTCTGCTTTCACAGTGCCTGGAGCCTTGTAAAGAATCTTGGGACCTACAGGAGACTCATTGTCAGAGCAAGTGTGAGGTAAGGCCTGCCTGTGGGGCACTTTGTTACCTTATTGCCAACTTTGAAGATGATCAAAATGCCACTTCAATTTGTCGGATTATAGGATTTAAAGGCGATACGGGGGGACGGTGAGAGCGCTCGTGAAACCGCAGTCTTCATTGTAAGGGCTGCACAATCCAGGCTAGAGGCTAATTCACTCAGATCGGTGTCAGTGTACAACATGGCAAACATGTTACGCGGAGCATTAATGCATAAAGAATTCTTTTTCGTGATGAACGTTGAACGACTGGAATTCTATTCCAAAAGAATAATTTGCTGCGTTTTTTTTTAAAACAGAAAAATAAACTGTGAAAGGTCCTTGTTCTCTCACTCAAACAGCTCCACGGTCTCGCCCCACCCTACCTCTGTCACCTCCTACAACCATACTGTCCGGGCTTCTCCCGCTTCGCTCAGTGAACGCTAACCTGCTTCATGTCCACCACCACTAACCACACACCCCCCACCACCCAATGTCCTATCCGCTTCACCCTTGTCGGCCGGGGTTTCAGCCATTCCAACCGTACGAGGTTGACCATTTCCCCCCTCCTCGCTCCCTCCCCTCCCTCCCCTCACCCTGACCATTTCCCCCCTGCTCGGGTCCTGACCCAACTGTGCAGCGCCTTGGGACGTCCTCCTGACGTGAAAGGCGCTTTATAAATGGAATCTTGTTGTTGTTGTACTCTTTGGAACTCCATCCCGGAGTCCCTCCAACTCACTCCCTCCCTCCCTCCCCTCTTTCAAGTTCATCTCAAAATATCCCTCTTTGACAATGCTTCCCCCCCCCCCAACCCCGGGTTGTATTGTACATTGTCTTTGTTTTTTCCCCTCAGTCTCTTTTTCCAAAGAAACACTACGAATGCCTGACCAGCTGTGAGTTCCTCAAATCCATCCAGTCAGTAAAGCAGGGCGACTGTCCCGCCCCAGAGAAGGCCAGCGGCTTTGCGGCCGCCTGCGTGGAGAGTTGCGAGGTCGACACCGAGTGTTCGGGCCTGAAGAAATGCTGTTCCAATGGCTGTGGTCACACTTGTCAGATCCCGCGAAACCTGTTCAGGGGTGGGTATATCGCGCGCTCGAGTACATCAGAAAACTCCTAACAACTCGACCCTGCCTTGTTTCGCCCACAACATATGTAGTCAATTCACTTTACAGTGTATGCAACAACAATAACTTGCACTTATAGAAAGCCCACCAGGCAGGGTAGCATCTCACAGCGCTTAACAGTGGCGGAACCTGACTCCGAGCCGAGGGGGAGGGAGAGCCCTTTCCCCTTGGAGGGACAAGTTATCGGGAGTTTACTGTCTATAAATGCAAGTTGTTGTAGGTGAAATGCTGAGGATGTTTCCCTCACGTCTTCCCAGCTCCTCATTTGAACAATTGCATATTTTAAGAGTTAAGTTTTTTTTAAGAATAACCCTTGCATTTGTTATAGCATCTCACCACGTCGTCTTGACATCTCAAAGAGCTTCATAGAGTTTTACAGTAAAGTGCAGTGACTGTACTTTGTAAGGAAAGGGGATAACCAAAGTTGCACAGAGCAAAGTCCTGCACACATCTATGAAATGAATGACCAATTTTTTTTTCATGCATTGTTGGTTGAGACAACGGGAGTAACTCCCTTCTCTTTTTGGGTAATGCCGTGGAATTTTTAACATCCGTCTAAATTGGCAGAAGGGGTCTCGGTTTCATGTCTCACAGCACCTCTAATACAATTCTTCCCCCAGCATTGCATTGGAGTGTCAACCTAAACTGGGAGTTCAAAGCCCCAATGGGGCTTGAAGCCATAACCCTCTGACTCCAATGTGAGAGCGAGACCAACTGAGTCCCTAGGTTTTTTGTGTGGGGGGAGAAGCAGTAGGAATGTAGCGTTTAAAATGTTCTTACAAGGTTGTCCTTCACTACTTTCTATTAGGATGTCCTAAATAGTGATTAGTTGACAGCTTGAGACAAATAGAGATCGAGCACTGATCTATGATAAAAGAGATTCTGTCGTCCATGCTTTTTCTTCCTCGCCTCCTCCTCAGTCCCACTTAAAGTCTTCCTGTAACATGTATCATTTGTCTCCAGAGGTTACAGCACTGCCTTGTTCTTAGGCTTTCATTAACCCGGACTTTGTGCAAGTTGCTTGAAAGGATTTGGGTTGACCTCTCTTTCATTCAGCCTTTCTTCCCCACCCCCCTCCCACCCCACTCCCAGGCTGTGAGGTTTGTAGCCTCCACCTGGGGAAGCTTCACTGCCAATGATCATTTCCACGACCACGCAACCAAAACTAGGAACACAACTTTATGTGATATTGCAGGCAAGCACCGATGTCCTGTCACTCTCTGCTGCTGGTATGAGGCAAGTGACTCGTCTGTCCACCTCGGTATGAGGCAGGGCATCTCTCCTATCTACTCTGGTACCCTCTCCCCAAATTCTTTACAAGGTTTGTATGTTTAGACCTCTTCGACCGCACTTTCAGTCTCTTCCCCCAACGCCCCCCCACCACCCCCTCCTCCCCGCAGCCCCCCCTACCCCACCCCCATTCCGGCTCAGATGCCCAGACAGTTCTGTAAAGTACTTTTGAGTTATCCTCCCAGAATGAAAGGTACTAGATAAATGTGTATTGTATTAAAGATGATGTTATTATCAAGGGACGTTAGCCAGGAAAATGTGTCAGCTTCAAGCTAATATACACAGACAAAATGTTCAGGCAAATATTTAGTCTCCTCTGCTGCCTTGCGGAGCTTTGCATTAGCAATGCAGGCACCAGACTAAAGCATCGGTAACATGGTAACAGTGCTTTCGACTAAGCATGTCTAAAAGTCCGTGGCACACCATCAACCCTTTTAAATGTTTATGGGCAGTGACAGGATGTTTAAAGAACTGTGTGTTTCAATATGTGAAAGTGAAGTTCATTCGTTATAAGTTATGAACATAATAGAATCGCTTGTGTACATTTTAATAAGGCAGAATGAGACAGGCCTTCAATCCAGGCAGCAATAGATGTAGGAAGTTTAGGAAACCAGTCAAATATTGGCTTCAGGGGATTAGCCAGGACTATTCTAGGTCTCCATCAGGACGGTTTAAAATAGTCCCCAATAAATTACTAATCGTGTAACTGTCAATGTAGCACAATGCAATTTACGTTTATATTGCATTTTATATCGCGCCGTTCATGTCAGGAGATGTCTCAAAGTGCTTGACACTCCTGATGGCACCTGAGCTGGAGGTGGAGCTGAAGAGGATGGGGAGGGGAAAGATGACCTAATGCACGATCAAAGAAGTATAACTTGAAGTAGGCTTAATCATAATAATCTTTGCATTTGATATAGCGCCTTATCATGTCATTGAGATGTCTCAACGCGCTTCACAGAATATATTGTAAAGTGGATTGACTGTGTATTTTGTGGGCGAAACGCGGCAGCCAATTGCACACAGCAGTGTCCCACAAACAGTCGTGGATTGAGTGGCCAATTTTATTATTATTATTTTTTCTTGAAGGATTTATTACCCACAGAAAGCAATTTGCCAATCGACTAACAACCGGGTTCCTACTTACCGCTAGGTAAATAGGTGTGTGGAGTAAGGAAACATACCTAAGGTTTCGCCCTGCCCGGGAATCAAACTCAAGTCTCTCGCTTGGCTTTGAATGTAGGGAGGGAGCGAGTTGGATGGACTCTGGGATGGGGTACCAGATGGTGGGGGTAGAATGCATGTAAACCCATCCACTGATAGTGGGGCGTATAAGCCCGGACTGTTTTTAGTCTAGTCCGTGTTTTCCAATGGAAGGAATTTCACAGCTGAAAGCTTCCAGCTGCAGCTTCGGTGGTTTAGATTCTAAACTACAAAAGAGAAATATGGATCCAGAGTGATTCATAATTTTCCACGCTCTGGCTCACCATTGAGCGAGCAATCTCACAATACGGAGACAGCAGAAGAAAAATAGACGTGAAGCAATTTTGAAAAGTATTTACTTGAAATGTTCTCGGATCAGTTTTGCAGGCTCGTGAGCTGGGTAGAAATGATGGATTAAGGGAGCCGTTTAGATTTCATGGTCTCGCTGAAATTTAATCATTTATCAACATGTATTGTTAACGGTATCCTTGCAGATGTGCGGCTTATTCAATGAAATATTTGAAGGGCTGTAAAGTAAAATGCATTTGGAGCTGTTCAGTACTGATTTATCTTGCAATGAATGAGAAATTTCCCTTCACGTTGATACCAATAAATCGTTGCATTTTTTTCCTTACATTTTGGTGTAGCACTTTTCATGTCAAGAGGATATCTCAAAGCGCTTCACAACATCTTTACTGTGAAACGGTTGTGTATTTGTAGGCAAATGTAGCAATTCATTTGCGGACAGCAGTGTCCCATAAATAGCTATAATGCAAATTACCAATGTTATTTGGAGGATTGTTGGCCAGGACACCAAAAAAACTGCCCATGGGGGTTGAACCCACAACCTTCTGACTCAGAGTGCAAACAACTGTGCCAGCCTGACACACACTCGTGATGAGGAAAATAGCCCTCATAAATAGGTCAAAAGAGTTGCATTTCACAAATCATGAAGATGGAGCTCCAAAATATTCCCTTGTTTAAAACACTGTATTTTCAGATGATCGCAAACAGAACTACAGTACCTTTCATGTACTTATATATTTTCGGAAGAGTATACACAGAACCATTTTCCCTTTGTGATTTGCAGATCTGAAAGTATTATTTTGTGTTTACTTTCTGAAGCCCATATGGTATCTTACATATCTCTACAATCTCTTTCTGATTCTTTTAGGTAGAGTTGTGTCATATGGCAAGGAAACAGACCATTTAGCCCAAATGGTCGGTGCCAGTGTTTATATTCCCCTCTATTTCCTTTGCCCTTATGTATGCATCAAGTTCTATTTTAAATGGGTTGATGCTTTTTGCTTCAACCACAGCTTCCAGCGTTCCACATTCTCCCCACCCTCTGCGTGAAGAGGTCATATGAGTCCAAGCCTCTTATGCAGTAGTTTATTCCCTTCAGGAGAGATGCAGATGCCACTAGCAACAGGGTTGAGAAAACCTTTCCAACTCAGATTCTATGGGCAGTCATTTCTTCTTCTAAAAAAGATGGGGGGTTAGAACTGGCTGTAAACATGGTTGAAGAGGAAGGTTTTCAGGCGGGTCTTGAAAAAGGGGAGAGAGGGAGATGTACTTATGTTACTGGGATGTGGTAATGCATTGCTGTTAGCATGAATCAGTTCCACTGACTGAGACTTAAGCAGTGCGTTTCTCTGCGTCATCCACAACTAAATGAAGGTAGCCTACATAGATCAAAGCATTTATAAATGTCCATGTGATATTAATACGTTGTTTATATTTGTAATGTTTTACTGATATAATAATGCATAAACTAAAATCCAGTGTTAAGTAGATATAGAGCTCAGTACCATTTTTACACAGGGTCTGGCAGATAAGTGCTTAGAATCGTAGAATCTTACAGCACAGAAGGAGGCCATTCAGCCCATCGTGCCTGTGCTGGCTTTTTGAAAGAGCTACCAACTATTCCCACTCCCCCGCTCTTAACCCATAGCCCTGCAACTTTTTAACTACTTATCTAATTCCCTTTTGAAAGCTATTATCGAATTTGCTTCCACCACACTTTGAGGCAGTGCATTCCAGATCGTAACAACTCTCTGGGTAAAAAAAATTCTCCTCGTCTCTGGTTCTTTTGCCAATTATCTTAAATCAGCATCCTCTGGTTACCGACCCACCCGCCAGAGGAAACCGTTTCTCCCTATCTACTCTATCAAAACCCCTCATAATTTTGAACACTTCTATTAAATCTCCCCTCAACCTTCTCTGCTCTAAGGAGAATAACCCAGCATAGAGTGCTTAGGGTGGTTCCTTACTGCTGTGGCACTATGAATATTACAGCAGTACATCAGCACCGTAGTCTTAATCCATATGAGCATCTGGGTTTTCTCCAAGATTACTTCCCTGGCTCAATTTCATTGATAATTAAATATTCCACAAAATGCCAATTAAAATGTGCTTTATAAAGGAAATATGAAAAATTGCTTCTGCAGGGAGAGAGAGAGCTCAATAAAACTGAACACCTAATGCCTTCAGGTGCACAGCTTAGTTTCCCTGCAGGTTACACTCTGCAGTATTTAATGCTAGAGATGAAGATCTAATGTGAAGAAAATAAGTGGTGTCGGACCAGCTTAATAATAATAATAATCCTTGCATTTGATATAGCGCCTTTCAAGTTAGAAGGATGTATAAAAACACTTCACAGGATTTTACTATAAAGTGTTATGACTGGTGCTATGACTGTATATTGTGGGCAGACACTGCAGCCAATTTTCACACAGCAACGTCCCACAAACAGCCAAGAAAGGAATGACCAATTTGACCTGAGGAATTGGTGGCCAAGACACCAGGAGAAAGCTCCATCTCTTTTCAAGTAGTGCCATGTAATGGTGAAGAATTCGTTTGACACGTATTAGACAGAGATTTTTTTAAAATAAACTTTGTGACTGCCCAGAAGGACCGTAAATGGGCTTTTCCAGTCCTCTGCATTCCTCTGCACAAATGTAAGGTTTAACCTTAGGAATAAAGGAACAGAAGTAGACCATTCAGCCCCTCGAGCCTGTTCCGCCATTCGATTAGATCATGGCTCATCTGCACCCCAATTCCAATTACCAGTGAGAACACCAAATCAGTTTTCCAGCCGAAAGGTTTCATTCACAGAAACCTAGAATGAGTTTATCGCACAAATAAATACAGCTGCATTTTTCACAATGCAGCCCTGGAATCAATAAGTTAGAGTTTGCAAACCAGCGAGATAGGTTGCGATGCTGTCATACTTAACTGTCCATAATTAAACACAGGAGAGATGTGCGTTACCGCCTGTGACTGAATGAATCAAGCCCTGATAAAAAACAGAGGTACTGTACTTTCACATGGAAATTGCAATTTTGCTGCATGGTGTAATTAAAAGCGTTACTGGAGATTGCCATCCAAGTTGACAGGAAGGCTAACATGATAAAGATCGCCATCAGGACCTCAATCGCTTCAGGTTCGGTGTATAATTAGAAGTGAACTAACCGTTGAAGTCTGTCACATGCGATGAAAATAAACTATGATCAGCCAGAAAACAAAACCGTATCACCTGGTTCTCAGCTGAAAGAGCCAGTCAATCCTTTTTGTGTGTTACAATCCCTGTATTAAGTATGACAGCTATTTATATGTTTCTGAAGTCTTGCTCTGACCATATACTGTAGCATTGGAGCCCTCAGACACACCTGACTTTAAAATAGTGTACGGTTTACACAACACAGCCCAATGCACACCCTTAGATGCTCTAAATCAGTGATGGCCAACCTGTGGGCAAGAAGTCGCCCCAGGGGTAGTCAGAAAGATGAGTCTTGGTAAGTGCAGGTTTGATCTTTAGTTCCGGGTAGGGCGAAACCCTGGGCAGGTTTCCTTACTCCACACGCCTAATAATAATCCCTCAAGAAGAAAACAATAATAAAATCAGTCACTTCATTCCACGGTTTCATTCCACAAACGTGGGACGCTGCTGTGTGCGATTGGCTGCTGTGTGTCGCCCACAAATATACAGTCAATTCACCTTACAGTATATTCTGTCAAGTACTTTGAGACGTCTAGAAGACGTGAAAAGCACTATATCAAATGTAAGGATTATTATTATAGTTTTCAGTTTTTCCTTGATTGTATATTTCTTGATTTGTGGCATTAATCAAGAAATACTCAATCAAAAAACCACTGCTCTAAATAGTCCAGGCGGATACTCCAGTGGAGTGCTAGAAAGAGCTGCATTGTTGAACCTGCTGTCCTTCAGATGAGATGTTGAACCAAGGTCCTGTCTATCTGTTCAGGTGGACATTAAACATCCTATGGCGCTATATGAAAAATAGTTTCTCCCAATGTCCTGGCCAACAATCCACTAGATAAATTGCTCATTAACTTCATTGCTGTTTGCTGGACTTTGCTGTGCACAAAGTGACTGCCATGTTCTCCTACAGAAGTACACTTTACAGTAAATCCTGTGAAGCATTTTGAGACGTCTCAATGACATGATAAGGCGCTATATTAAATGCAAGGATTCTTAATATTATTTTTAAACACAAAGATTGCATCTTATACACCGTGACTTCAATAAGGTTTTATCTTAGACAAGTTGTAGAATAGTGAATCAAGTTAATAGTGCCTGCAGCTTATCAAATGGAGTCTACAATACAATATTATATTATCGCTTCTCTGCCTTTTGGCTAAGATCAATACTGGTATCTAAATGTTTGTTCCATTCCCTTACGAAACTCTAACTGCCCTTTGTGTCTCTGGTCCAGGTGTCCCACTGAAGCCCAGAAAGGAGCTAAGCTTCGCCGAACTGAAAACGGGAAATCTGGAGATCAAATGGTCTTCGAAGTTCAACATTTCAGCAGAACCAGTCATCTACGTGGTGCAGAGAAGGTGGAACTATGGCATCTATCCCAGCGAAGATGATGCATCCGACTGGCAGACGGTTACACAGGTCAGTTTTGAGAACTATTTTCCATTATAATTTTCCAAAGACCAGTTACATTCCAGAAGAATCCCAACGCACACTCAGGTTTCTCTGAGTCTTGGCTCTTGCTAACCTGCGCCTATTACTCTTTAGCATTAGGAAAGTAGGGTGGATCTCTCAGGGAAAGAGTGTGCATTCTATTCCAAACAGGTGATGAGTTCCAAGCAGTACATGTGGGAGATGTCTGGTTTTCCATGAAAAAAAATTGCTTAAAGACCTCTTGGGAGGATCTCTCAAAGGCATATTGTAAAGTGTAGTGACTGTATTTTTTAGGCGAACACGACCACTGTCTTGTTTTTTTGATGTTGGGTAGACGGCTCACGGAACTCAAACACTCTCAGCATTTCCGATACTGTGTGCATCTTTCTTGTTATCTGTCGCTAGAGAGAAAAGGAGAAACTGACAGTTTCCCAAGCTAATAAGTAATAATATTTGATCTTTGGATTTTTTCTTAATAATCAAATAAGGTGAGTGACTGGGTTTGCATCAGTTTTCAAAGAAAAATATCCTCCCTTGAAGGGAGGAATATTTCTCTTTGCTTGCGAGGCGAGAGTGCTAACCACTGTGCTATGGGACTCCATTGTCAGAAGCCACCGAGTAGCCCAGAATCATAGCAATATACAGCCCATCATGTCTGTGCTGACTGTTTGAAAGAGCAATCCATTCAGTCCCATTCACCTGCCTTTTCCTCATAACCCTGTAAATTATTCCTTTTTAGATATCTCTTTAGTTCCCTCTTGAAAGGTAATATGCCACGACTATTCCACATTCTAACAACTCTCTGTGCGTCAAACAAAATCGTCTAAATCTCCCCATTTTCTATCTTGCCGGCGATTGATGCCCTCTAGACACTGACTCACAGACCATTGAGGAAATAATTTCACTCTATCGACTCTTATCAAAAAAAACCCTAAGAAGTTTAAAGATCTCTATCAGGTCTCCCCTCAACCTTCTTTGTTCCAGACTTCCTTATCATGGGAAGGGAGTGGAATTTCTCTGTGTCTGGCTTAGAATTGTGTTTGATTAAGGCAACCATTTACCAAGGCAAAATCCCATGATAAGCTGACACGTGTCCAGCTGTTGTGACATTTACCGACTTGCTGAGAATCAGAATCTGAAGTCAATAAAAGTTGCAAAGTTTGGAGACACATTTCTAAGAATTTGGTCACTCAATCCACGACCGTTTGTGGGACACTGCTGTGTGCAATTAGCCTTTCGCCCACAAATATACAATCAATTCACTTAACAGTATATTCTAGAAGATGTGATAAGGCTCTATATCAAATGCAAGGATTAGTATTATTATTATTATCTGAGGACTTAAACATACTGCGCTTCTGTGAGATACTTAACATAGGAATCACAGTGTCCGAGATCTGAAATCCCTCCCTCACACTCAAAAAAGGGAAGAAAGCTTCTCTTGGGTCTTGGCTAACAATCCCCCAGATAAAACTGCTCATTGGCTGTTTGTGGGACATTCTTGTGCGTAAAATTAGCTGTCGTGTTCGTTTTCAAAATACACAATGCTACACTCTGCAGTAAATATGGTAAAGCACTTTGAGACGATCTCCCAACATGAAAGGCGCTACATTAAATGCAAGGATTAGTATTATTATTTTTAATTTTAGTAAGCTGGAAATTTCTTAGGAAGGGTTTAAAAACCTGCTTCTAGATTCACCGAGTTGAAGGATTTTCCAAAAATTGCAAAATCTTAAATGTTTAGACAAATGGTCTCAAACCCTAAGGCAATGGTCTTCAGCCCTGAAACTATGAGAGAATTCAGTCCTGTGAAGTGTAGCTTTAAAAGTTGTATAGTCTCTTTGCAACTCAGTGCTTCAATTGCAGTGTTTTATGTTCGTGATTACCATAGGTGTTGTTCAATTCAATCTGTAATTGCAGTCGCCATACAGGGGTTTGCAGTGTGAAAGTAATTCAGTTGCATGCACTGATGCATACTGATTGGAATCTGCCACTTCATTCCTCTTACTGTTGTGCTGTGCGTGTATTTTCTGGTCGCACCACACTGTGCTCTGTTGTGCTATTTTATGACTGTTCCCAGTTTGGACTTGGAATGGGGTGTTGGATAAAGGAACAGGCACACACGACAGCTTTCAATCTTCTGGGTAATAGTAATAATAATCCTTACATTTGATACAGCACCTTATTGTGTTGAAATGTTTCAATGAGCTTCACTGAGTTAATGAGATTTCTGCAAAAGATAGTGACTGTGTATTTGTTGAACTTTGCTACCAATTTGCGTACAGCAGTGTCCCACAAACAGCCGGGAAGGGAACGACCAATTTTTTAACAGCAACAACCACTTGGATACATATAGCGCTCCTCATGCAGGGTACGGTCCCAGAGCGTGTTAATCTGGCGGATTGTCGGCCAGGACACCAGTAAATACTCCCTTCTCTTTTTGAATAATACCATGGGAGATCCTTAATCCGAGCAGGCAACAACAACAACAACAAGATTCCATTTATATAGGCAGACGGTAGCTGGACAATAATAATAATAATAATCCTTGCATTTGATATAGCACCTGATTACGTCTTCAAGACGTTTCAAAATGAATTGACTGTGGTATTTGTGGGTGAAACGCAGCAGCCAACAGCAGTGTCTCAAGGACAGTTGTGGATTGAGTGACCTTATTATTATTATTTTTGAGATTTGGATTTAACATCAGCACTGACAATGCAGTGCCTTCTCCCTGGCACTGCTTTGGAGCATCAGCCTAGGCTACGAGCTCAGTGTAGGTGGCATGGTTTAGTTGAAGGCTTTAAGGATCAGTGGGTTGATCTTGTGAGGAAGTGCGATTGTTTAGTCGTCAGCCAAATAGAAGCTATTGCATTTACAGCGCCTCAGCTCCTGTAGTTTAATGATTGTAATCTGTTTACCGACTGTCAACTTTCCCAAGGGGAGTGTGAGTGCTTTTTTTATTTCAAAGTGCAGAGCACCATAACATGGCAAGATTTATGCTAGCTCTTCATTGTAAGTGCACACACCAGCCGTTTCCCGGGGCTCAAGGCAAAGGAAGCCATAGCAACAACTTGAACAAAACATCCAGGGGAGGTTATGATCTGGTCTCACCATTAACCTAAAGCAAGTTTTCAGATCGTGCAAATGGGAGGGGAGAATTGGATTCATTAATTTGGTGTTAAAATATTCCCCAATTGTCTCCCTTGTTTTATCCCCCCACCTCCTCTCCACACATCGGGTGTCAATTGCGCATCAGTCTGCCTTGGTTCATCTTCCGACATAGCCACACTGCGTTACGTTTGCTCATCCACTTCAACATTAACGTCAACAATTTACATTTATGTAGCGCCTCTCACGCAGGGTAGAGTCCCAGAAAGCTTGACAATTGCCGAGCACGGCACCGAGCCGGGGGGGAGGAGGGGGTGACTGTAGTCATGATCGAAGAGGAAGGTCTTCAGGCGCATCCTGAAGATGGGGCAAGGATGGGGGAGAGAGTTCCAGAGTTTCACGGCCATTTGTGGGACGTTGCTGTGCGCAAATTGCCCCCTGCATTAACTTACAAATATACAGTCACTACATTTTACTCTCGATTCCTGTGAAGCGCTTTGAGGAGTCATGATGAAACGATAAAGCACTGGATTAAATGCAAGGATTTTAGGTGTTATAATTAGTAATGCTCATTGATCACACACACTAAGCAATAGTTTCTCAAAGGATTCCTTAATAATGAAGAGATGGCTGGCTGACTCCACTCTGATGCCATGTACTGGGTATAATGTAGTGGACAACAACAACTTGCAATAATAATCCCTCCAAAACCAAAAACAATAATAAATTGGTCATTTTCAATTTACGACTGTTTGTGGGACATTGCTGTGCGCAATTGGCTGCCGCGTTCGCCCACAAATATACAGTCAACTCACTTTACAGTGTGTTCTGTGAAGCGCTTTGGGACGTCCTCCCGACATGAAAAGCGCTATATCAAATGCAAGGATTATTATTATTATTCTTATTATTTGTATAGCGCCCCTCCTGCAGGGTAGCGTCCCAGAGCGCTTGACAGTGGTGGAGCATGAAGCCCAAGCCGGAGGCACGGTCGAAGAAGAAGGTCTTCAGGTGTGACCTGAAGATGTGGAAGGAGAGGGCAAGATGGAGGGATAGAGTGAGAGTGTCCCACTATATAGTGCCTGAAGGTCAATCTTTACTTCTAGTTCTAAAAAGGAAGGCCTGACCCAGATCTCTTAATAAGTCCCATTGAAAGTCACCACAAATTGAATGCATGGGTTGCGACCACAGAGGTCAACAACAACTTGCACTTAAATAGCGCCCTTCATGTGGGATAAAGTTCCGGAGCTCTTCATAGTGGCGGAGAAGGAGGGGGGAGGTGACTGTAAGCACGATCAAAAAGGAAGGTCTTTAGGTGGGATTTGAAGGTGGGGAGGGAGGGGGCAAGCCAGAGGGTTTGAGGGAGAGAGTTCCAGAGTTTTGGGGCTCAGTGGCTGAAGGCACGGCCACCAATGGTGAAACAGAGGGGACAAGGGACAATTAGGAGACCGGCGCCAGCTGAGCGGAGGCAGCAGGTGGTGGAATGGGGGGTAAGCAGGTTGGAGAGGTAGGGAGATTAGCAATCGCAGATCGCAGATTAGCAATTTAATGCCATTGTCACTGTGAAGGTTTGAAAAGATCTCTCCTAACAAAATATATTGGTGTTTAATCCTCTCCCCCCCACCCTCAGACCACCGAAGAGCGAGTCCAGTTGCCTAACATCCGCCCCAGCAGGTGGTATCAGTTTCGAGTGGCAGCAATTAACGTTCACGGCACTCGAGGATTCACCGCTCCCAGCAAGCACTTCCGCTCATCAAAAGGTTTGTAATTTCTCGCATCTAATGCTAACCCAGAACACAAAGATTCCCTTAACCTCTTTTTCCTTCCTACCTCTACGACCCCCACCCGCCGCCCACCCTCTCCCCCCCCAACCCCCTTGGCTATCAGTCACAGTCTTGAAGCAGGTGGATTTTTCCATGATTTAGCTAAGTGCCTAAAATAACTGTGGCTTTTGTGGTGCATAAAGTTAATAGCTCTGTCAGAATGAAGCATTCCTCTCCATTGTGTTCATCCCCACTCAGTAAATCTAACTTTTACAATTGCAACCGTGTTTTATGTCAAGGTCATCACTGATCGTGAACGAAATAGGTTTTTGAAATAAAATTCAGGATTGAATATACAGTAAACCTTACATAGATCATACCAGTTGGGATCAAACATTTAATAAGAATTATGCAAAGTATGAGTTATATCAAACTCGCATAGAATATTAACTCTTTAACAGGACTGGACCAGATGAAATGGAGGTGTGGGAGGGTGGGGTGCCCAATGAAATCATCCCACAGGCTGCCAGTCAAACCACCCTGACTTAGTTGATTATACTTTTTTATACAGATAATAATAATTATAATCTTTGCATTTGATATGGCGCCTTATTACGTCATTGAAGCGTCTCAAAGCACTTCACAGAATATGCTGTAAAGTGTAGTGACTGTGTATTTTGTGGGCGACTAATGCGAGTTTTACTGTAGTTTTTTTAAAAAATAACAGAAACAAATACTGCAATGAAGAGAGATAGTTTGTACCGGCCGCTTATTTTTCTGGGATTAAAGCTCCCGTCATTGCCGTGTTGGGATCTAACACCATCGAGCCTTTGCTCCGTGCTTACAATTCTAATTACCGTTGGGAATTGAAACGTCTGCTAGTGTGGGTGAACATTGCAGGTTAAACTGCTTTTTAATTCAGACAGAGATCATGCTGAAGAAAGCTCGCCAACATGATGTTCAGATGGGATCCTGTAGCTCAGTGGTTAGAGCACTCGCCTCGCAAGCGAGAGGCCTGGGTTCAATTCCTTTCTCCACACACTTGATAATAATCCCTCAAGAAAAAAAAGAAAGAAAACATTTATAATAAAATAATAATTTGGTCACTCATTCCAGGACTGTTTGTGGGACACTGCTGTGCGCAATTGACTGCCACACAAATATACAGTCAATTCACTTTACAGTATATTTTGGGAAGCGCTTTGAGACGTCTAGAAGACGTGAAAAGCACTATAACAAATGCAAGGATTATTATTATAAATGTGATGCTGAGGATCGATCAATTGATTGATTGACTGACAGTGTGCACAGCCCCTCTCAGCTATGCTGTGAGTGTTACCTGAAATAAGGTACATTAGTCCCATCAGTTAAGCTCAGCTGGTAGCAGTACCAATACCCTTGCATTTTATTGCACCTTATCACATCACTGACAAATCTCAAAGCGCTTCACAGGAATTTAAAGTGTAGTAACTGTGTATTTTGTAGATGAATTCAGCAGCCAATTTGCACACAGAAATGGGGGGGAATTGTTGGTCAAGTTGTTCAGAGGGAGGTTAAAGATACCATGACACTGTTCGAAAAGAAAAGGGAGTTTCTCTTGGTGTCCTGGCCAACAATCCCTCACCTAGAATTGATCATTCACATCATGGTTGAGTGTGGGACTTTGCTGTGCTCAACTTGGCTGCTGCATTTGCCTATAAAATATATAGTCACTACATTTTACAGTGTATTCTGTGTAGCGCCTTGTCACATCATCCCGTAGTGAAAGGAATGAAATGTAAAGATTATTATCACTGTTGACCTTATGAACAGGAGGATTGTTCAGCAACAACGACAACAACAAAATTACACTTGTATAGCGCCTCTCACGTCGGGAGGACATCTTTCACACAATCTCCTTTGTAGACTGACAATGCCTGTGCGCCCAAAGCAATGGAATGGTTTATCTTCCAGAATGTTTGTTAACCTTATTCTCATAATACATAAAAACAAATCTATTGAAGCATTTCAAATTCCATATTAAAATCTCACATAATGGAATACATACTCATCAAAAGCGTGTAAATCAAATCTGAAGCAAGCAGAGGTCTCGACTGTAATGATTCCCTTTGATGGCCCTTGGAGACCAATAAGTTTTTTTTACAACGTAATACAGCTGGTCGCTGAATGAAAGGCAGAGAAAGTTAAAATGCAAAGTCACTTCTTTAATCTGACTGGAGTTCTGAAGAATGAAGTGTTACGCTTTGCATTGATATTGCTGTTGAAGACCCTAATCATTCATGTTCATGTTTTCTCTCCTTACTGTCTATTCCTCACCTCAAAGCTATGGACGTCTTGTTTGCAGATACACCACAAGAGGAAAAAGTATGCATATATAGTGGATCTGCATTGATAATAATCTTTGCAATCAATATAGCTTCTTGCCATGTCATTGAGACATCTCAAGCGCTTCACAGGATTTCACTTTAAAGTAGTGACTGTGTTTTTGTAGGTGTAAGCAGCGGTCAATTTGCACACAGAAATATCCCGCAGACAGCCGTAAAGTGAATCATCAATGTTATCTGGGGGACTGTTGTCCAGGATACCAGCAGAAATTCTCTTCCCTTTTTGAATGGTGCCATGGGAATCTTTAACATCAGTCCGAGACTGTGAGTTTGCGATGATGGGCTTGAACCCACAACCTTCTGACTCTGTGGCGAAAGTGCTACCGATCGATCCAGCCTGACACCTGCACTGCATCCCCACCGCACCAGCCTAAGGAGATGAAATTTGCAGCCTTTTCCAGTTCTCAAAGGGAAAAGGTTATTAAACACTGCAAATATTACACCAACATTTTACTTCAAATCAGTTTCGTAAATTAGTTTTCCAAACAGGTTAGCGGGGAAAAGAAAACCTTGGAAAATGTTATATTCCAAGCACCGGTTGATAATATTCTTATCAGTTAAACCAGTGGAACTGAAAGACTGAAAGCATTGCATGTTTACAGCCCCCTCATTCAAATAAGTCTTCAGCGCTAATACAGTGTAGTATTACAAATCGCAGTGAAGCAGATCACAAACTCGCTTTAAACCTCGATTCAAATTAATCCTTGATAAGAACTACTTTGGTGGCTTGTAATCTGGGGGTTTGGCCATATCCAGTGGAATACGAAGAGGAATTTAATGATGAGATGTAGGATGTTCAGTTATTTGATGCTGAAATGCAGGTTCTATTATCTAGGATATGAGTTTTAAGTGTGTCTTTGCCTCGCTCAATGCAGCTGCAGGGGCTCAGGAGATTAATAGAGCCAAGCGGTAAGTAGCAAGCACGATATTAATGGTGTTCAAAAGGGCAATGCTTTTCCTTTGTTTGGAGATATGATGCACGAGAATGAGGGTTGAAATTGCACTATTTGCATCCAAATTCAAAACCGGATGAGCTAAAGTAATAATAATAAGCCTTACATTAGATACAGCACCTTTCATATCAGGAAGACATCCCGAAGAGCTTCACAGGATTTACTCTAAAGTGTAGCAGCTGTGTATTTTTTAAGCAAATGTAGCAAACAATTTGCACACAGCATTGTCCCGCAAACAGGTATTACGTGAGCGACCAATTTTATCTGGGGGATTGTTGGCCAGGACAAATAGTGCCTGGAATCTGTAATGCCCACCTGAGCAGTCAGACGGGATTGCAGTTTAATGTCTCATCCGAAGGATAGCACCTCCTGTGCTGCACTGGAGTGTCAGAAGATTGTGTGTTCGAAGTCCCGATATGATGCTTGAACCCACAATATTCTGAATCCGAGGTGAGTGTGCTACCAACTGAGCCAGGCGGATACCTTAAAATGCTCATAAAGAGAATAATACTACTAATAATAATCCTTGATATAGCGCTTTTCATGTCTTCGAAACGTCTCAAAGCGCTTCACAGAATATACTGTAAAGTGAACTGACTGTATCTTTGAGGGTGAAACGCGGCAGCCAATTGCGTACAGCAGTGTCCCACAAACAGTCGACGATTGAAGTGACCAATTTATTATTGTTTTTTTTCTTGAGGGATTATTATCAGGCATGTGGAGTAAGGAAACTTGCCCAAGGTTTCACCGTGCCGGGAATCAAACCCAGGCGAGTGCTCTAACCACTGAGCTACAGAACTCCACATAATGCAGGCAGTTGAGGAAGGGCCCTTTGCACCCTGTGTTTTTCTCTTGGTTTGTGATCACTCCCAACGGTTTTCTTCCACCAAGAAAATGTCCCAAAAATTTGTCAAGCAGTCATAATAATAATAATAATCCTTGCATTTGATATAGCGCCTTATTGTGTCTTCGAGATGTCTCAAAAGCGCTTCACAGAATATACTTTAAAGTGAATTGACTGCATCTTTTGTCGGTGAAACGCAGCAGCCAATTGCACACAGCAGCGTCCTACAAACAGTCATGGATTGAATGACCAAATTATTATTTTTTGTTTTTTTTTGGAAGAATTATTAGCCCCGAAAAAGCGATCCGCTTAGTCAACTAACAACCGGGTTCCTTAGTGCTAGGTAAACAGAGGAGTGTGGAGTAAGGAAACACACAACCGCATAGTTCAGCGAATGTAAACTTTACTTTTCGGAAACAGGAATTCTATTTACGGAAATCATTCGCTTTCCATGACAACAATGTTTACGAGACAAACTTGGAAAGAGACAAAGTGGTGATCCCGGAGACGAATGAGGGGCAATTGTGGTTTTTACACAGCATGCCAGCACTTTACAGAGATAAAGTGCTGAACTCTCTCTCTCTTTCCATCTCTCTCACTCTCTCTTCTGTTTCTCTCTCTCTCAAGATAAGGTAGAGAAGCGCAAGAAGGAAATGGTGTTAAATGAATAAAACAAGCTACCTTTGTAAAACAGCGCACCCATAAAAACTAATCAGGGATTAGAGGCAGAGACCTACGGGATTTAGATTTATGACTCAAAGCTCTTGTATTTTCAGTTTGAGAAATATTCTGGCTGATGGCCAGGTTTTTTTCAGGCTTGAAGTTGCTAACATTCCCAGTTTCGGCCCCGCAATTTCAATCAAAGTTCCGAAAAAAATTCTCTCCCCTTTATGAAGCCGAACTGTTATTGTTACAGCGAAGGATTTTCGTAGCCTGGTTATTAGATCTCATAAACTTCATAGAGCTGTGGGGATGAGACGCCTCAGCGGGACTTTCTGTCAGTCCACATCAATACAAGCAGACCCTTTGATTTGTGATGGGTTTCAGATATTGGAATGAAGGCAAGATACCTCATTCATTACGCTGTGTTTGTGGTTGTCAATGTGAGTTCCCTAGCGCTGACACTTTAGAAGGGCTGTTCTGCTCGGGACAAACACATCTCAGTTGCAATAGGCTCAACTGAATTAATTGCTGCTTCCTCCTCTGTTACATTTGGAGTTAGCACTAATTCCTCTCTTAAGGTTAACATCTGGAAATCTTTACAATGGTAAACCTTAACATCATCACTCACGATAAGCTTGAGTTATTTGCTGTAAATGACAATGGGTCTTCTTTGACTTATTTAACGGATCTTATTTGACCCAAGGCAAAGAGAGAGTAATGGCAGGGAAGCTCCTCCAAATGTTCCTTGTGCTGACATCCGAGGAGATATCATCCTCCAATTGTAATGGTGGGTAGTGCCAAAGAGCATCAGAGGAATATGCATCCTGAGAAGAGGAGGCTGCAATGGGCCACATTGAAAATAGCAGCTCAGCCTTTGTTATATCTGATTTTTCATGCAAAGCTATTTGTTCGTTGTGCACAAAGCTGAACAACACTGTATATGTCTCCCGATGGGGCACTGCTACTCTCGAAACCATGAAGAGCAGCTGTTGCAAACTGCTTTCTCTTCAGAACAGCTGTTCCTCGTGCTAATATTGTTGTGTCAGCCTGGCTCAGTTTGGTCGCACTCTCGCCTCTGAGCTGGAAGGTTGTCGGTTCGAGCCCCACATCAGGACTCTGAACTGGCTGACACTCCAGTGCAGTGCTGGTGGGTGTGCTGCATTGTTGGAGGTACCATCCTTTGGACGAGATGTTAAACCAAGGTCCTCGGTTGCTTGTTCAGGTGGACATTAAAGATCCAATGACACTATTCGAAAAGAGAAGGGAATTTCTCCCCGGGTCCCGTCCAACAATTCCCCAGATACAATTCGTCATTCACTTCATGGCTAAATGTAAGTTGTTGTTACCTGAACGGAGGCAACCTACAGGGTGTTCACAAAATCCTGTTACCCCCATGTGCACTGACCAACAACTGAAATGTGGAAGAATGACGATAATTGTAGTTAGATGTATTTAATTGTATTTAGACGTCCTGAGGATTGGTGTGTGTGAGCGCCATCATTTTCATGGCAGATAATATCCTTCACTATGTTCGACGCCACATCTTCTATAACATGGATGGAGTGAGAAGAGAGAGAGTGAGGAGGAAGTTATTGGTTTCAGGCATTGTTACACTTAACTCATCATCAACAGAAAATAAAAAATCATTGTAAGAATAAAACCAGGGGTAACAGGACATTGCGAACACCCTGTACAAAGAAATGAGGCTTTCCTGAAAACAATTCTGCTCATCTTTTCTTCGCTTGGAGTAAACCCCTATTCTTCTTGTTCCTCTTAGAAATTGTAATTCTAAGATGACCCCTTTTTAATTCCCCAAAAACAAATGCTTGTGCTGTATACTTTATAGTCAAGTTTTTTAAAAAAATTCAGACTTTGCATCTGACTTCCTCTCTAGAATCCGTCAAGAAATGTCCAATAGTTACATAATTCATGAATTTTCTTGTTGCAAATTTTACTCTTTACTGGACTCATTGAGACTTGTATTACATTTGAATCTTAATCAACTGACCCTGCGTTTGTAGAAGTAGGATTTATTTGAAGGAGGGCTTCAAGCCAGAAGGAGAGGAGGACAGCGGGAGGGCGATGAGGGGAGATGGAGTAGTAGAGGGAGAGAGTTCCAGAGGTAGGAGCATAGGAACTGAACCATCAGTTGCTGAGTGAGCTGAACAGAGGGGATGAACAGAAGAGCAGGGTGAGAGAAGATCAGTGGGATAAACAGCCGCCAGTGAGAGGATTTGTAGGTGAGGATAGAAGCGGACTACTGAATCCGCAACTTATAGGCGAAACAAAAGCAAATTGGAGTCGAATCATTAGCTTTTCTGCTCAACTCCTGCCCTTCAATGGTTTCAGATCCCTCCGCTCCCCTGGCTCCGTCCAACGTGAGGGTCGGCAACTTCACTGCCAGCAGCGACGGCACCATGAGCACCAGGATTGTCTGGGATGTCCTGGAGGATCCCGATATCCCAGTTCATCATTACAAAGTCTTCTGGAGCTGGAGCGTCAATGGGAAGTCCATGGTCCCGACCAAGAAGAAGCGAAGGAAAACCGTGAACGGGGTGAGAGGTTGAAAAAGCCCTGGGGCACATAGGAACAGGAGTAGGCCTTTCAGCCCTCGAGCCTGTTCCATCATTCTATTACATCATGGCTGATCTGTAACTCAACTCCAATTACCTGCCTTTGCCGCATATCCCTTGATACCCTGACCTAACAAAAATCTATCCACCTCAGTCTTGAAAATCTGAATGGATTCAGCATCCAAAGCCTTTTGGGGCCTTTTGGGGCAGAGAGTTCCAGGTTTCCACTACCCTTTGCATGAAAAATTGCTTCCTGGTTTCATTCCTAAATGGTCTAAGTTTATCCCCCACTCCCCACCCTCCCACCCCACCCACCCATTCTGGATTCGCCCGCCAGACAAAATAGTTTCTCTGTAAGGCAGAAAGAAAGGTCTCAAACGAAATAGGGCACTGCCAAGCAGAATCATAGCAGAACATTCCACATGCAAAGCAGCTGTAACATGACAACATTTGTGTGAGCCTCCCTGCCAATTTATAGTACTTGCACATTATTTTAGTCTGCGGAAAGAGGAGTTAACTCGGAAGTGTGTCCAGTAAAACACAAGGATTATTGCTTTTGAAGACTGTTTTGGTACTTGGGGTTGGTTAGAAACATAGAAGCAGGAGTAGGCCATTCAGCCCCTCGAGCCTGTTTCGCCACTCTATAAGATTGTGGCTGATCTGTACCTCAAGTCCAATTACTCGCCCTTGCCCAGTATCCCTTGATACTCTGCCCTAACAAATATCTGTCCACCCTCAGTCTTGAAAATGTGAATGGATCCAGCATCCTGGTTGCCAAGCTGCGAGGAATGAAGGGAAGTTGTGTGGTTGTACCAGATCAATGCACATTAACACAATCTTCCATTCCTTACAGTCTCAAAGCCATGTAGTTTTGGAAGGACTTCAGCCCAACAACAGTTACATGGTGGAACTGCAGGCAGTGACTTACTGGGGTCAAGTGCGTCTAAAAAGTGCTAAAGTCTCGCTGCACTTTTATACTCCCCGAACTCTCGATACAAGTAAGCAATCACTTTCTCTTCTCCCTGTTTTGGCTGTATTTCCTGAAACACATCTGATGTTACTGGATAAGACGGAGAGTGCTACTATTTTTAAAATTGCACTTTAAGGAACCACTTTGCTTTGCAAACGTAGAGGATGTTTTGATGGTGTGGAAGTCTTTTGGAGGCTCGTGTGGAGTACAAACACCAGCATGGACTAGTTGGGCCGAGTGGTCTGTTCCCCACTGTATCATTCTATGTAATCCTTCCTCTTTCAGTCCACTTCCCTGGCCTTTCCTCTTACCACAGGTTGCTGTGGCAATGACCTTTCTTCTCACATTCTAAATCAAAGTTTATTTAAAATATTTTTTATTTCAGGTAAGCATCAAGTCTCATGGTACAAACGAATGAACTAAATGTCTCCCACATTTTGTAAAACATAACGTTTCACACATATTGTACCACAGTTTTTTTGTTATTCATCTCCTAATGTATTCTCCAATCATTCGGCTCTGAGGCACTCCAGGATGCTACCCTGTTTAAAGGGTGCGATATAAATGCAAGTTATTGTTGTTAAACCTGCAAGCCAAAGCCTTAAAGGGTAGGGTGTTTCTAACTGGACAAGTGAGCAGAAAGCTCACCAGACAGTGCTTTCAATGCCTAAGCATTTTTTGTTGGTTAAACTCCATCATCACTATGCTTGAGTATCCAATTCAAGTAGTGTTCCACACACATATTTATGCCACTTACATGGAAGTTTATAGAACAGAATGCGCACTCTCACCCTGGAGGGAAACACCCTGTTCGCTTAATTCCAGAGAATATCAGAGTGCCAAGCTAGGCTATATGAGTTCAAAGTCCCGACGTGGCATTCAAACCCTCATCCTTCTGACTTAAGAGGTGAAAATGAGCCAGTCTAACATTTATTTTCGTCCACAAAATACACAGTCAATTCACTTTACAGTATATTCTGTGAAGCGCTTTGAGACGTCTCGGAAGACATGATAAGGCGCCATATCAAATGCAAGGATTATTATTATTACTGTACTGAATCAGCAAAAGCACAAGAGGAAGAGGAAGCAGTAAATAATTCAGATAAGTGCAGTGTTCTTTTAGCATTCAGTGATGTTGAAGGTGTATTGAGGGACTTTAGCAAGTGACACATCAGACACCAGCGGAAGAGCAGTATTTCCAAGGAAAGCTGCAGTGCAGTGACCTGCGATACCTGACTTCACAGCATATTCTCTTACCCTCTGTGGTCCTTAGCTACCAGACTGACTGGCTAAGCCCAAATCTTGTAATGCCTGGCCTTAGCTTTTAGGAATGAGATTACTTCGAAACCAGTATTTTACATTAAAGCCCTCAAAAGCTGTTGAGATCGGAGATGAGTAAAGGAGAGAATATGTGGAATTACAGAGATTGATTCCTTGTCAGTGCTGACGAGCTGGCTAGTTTTTTTTCTTCAGTAAGTAACCTTAGAGGCTGGTGGAACAGAAGACTATTATCCTTTAAGTGATGTTACAATAGAGTGACCTTTGCTCTCTTGAATCACAGTGAAGGCGATTACTGTCAAAGGAACTTGCTGAACTACCTTTATATTTTCGAATGAGCCAAGTCAGCAGGACAAGAGGGCGAGGGTTCAGGGTTGGGAAGAACAGACACCAGGAAGTACTTCTAGACATGGAGGATAACCAATAGCTGGGGCAGGTTGCCAGACAGGGTGATAGACGCCAGGACACTATAATACTTCTTGCATTCGATATAGCACCTTATCACGTTGATGAGATGTCTCAAAGCACTTCACAGGATATATTGTAAAGTGGATTGACTGTATTTTGTGGGCGAAACCCGGCAGCCAATTGCGCACAGCAGTGTCCCACAAGCAGTCATGGATTGAAGTGACCAATTTGTTATTTTTTTTTGTGAAGGAATTATTAACCCTGGAAAAACGATCCACCAATCGACTAACAACTGGGTTCCTACTCCTCTAGGTAAACAGAGGCGTGTGGAGTAAGGAAACTTGCCCAACATTTCGCCCTGCCGGGAATTGAACCTGGGGCTCTCGCTTGCGAGGCGAGTGCTCTAACCACTGAGCTACAGGACTCCACAAAGCAGAGAATATGTTTCACTCAGAGAGTTGTTAGGATGTCCAATTAAATTGATCCCAATTCCCAGCTCAGGTGCACATCCTTGACTGTCCAGTGCTTTGGGACATCCTCCCGACATGAAAGGCGCTATACAAATGTGATTTGTTGTGGTTGTTGTTGGAATGTCTTGCCAAGCAAGGTGATAGAGGCAGAGTTCATTGTGAGTTTCAAGAGGGAAGTAATAATAATAAGATATCATTTAAGAAACAGCTTGAGATTGTCATGGGAAGACAGTGGGGGCAAGTGTTGTGGTTATATGGACCAAACAACTTTCTTTTTCTAAATCTCACTTGTGATCCTGTGATTCAGCTTATGTTGAAAACTGAGGTCCCATCTACCTGTTCAGGTGGACATTAAAAGTTCTGTGACACTAATCGAAAAGGGAAGGGAGTTTCTCCCAGTATTCTGGCCAACAATTCCCCCAGATAAAATCACTCATTCACTTCATGGCTCTTTGTGTGACATTGCTGTGTGCAAATTGACTGCTGCATCTGCCCACAAATACACAGTAACTGTAATTACAGTAAGTCCTGTGAAGCACTTTGAGATGTCCTTTCGATATGAAAGGCACTGCATTGTATCAAATGCAAAGATCATTAGTAGTAAATGATCTTTCAACCTGACCCTTGTTGTTATTATTATGGGTAATAGGTTTAAATCTATTGTTTCTTCTTTTAAGGGGATCGATCATCTTCAACTAAATCCAGACACGGAGTGGTCAATACCCTCCCTGCCTCCCATGGGAAAAGAACTCTGCGTCTCATTGATGTTGGGGCGCCATTCTATCAGGAAAACCAGCTCCAGGTTAAAATTTACTGGAAGAAAATGGAAGGTAAGCTTCACCATAATGCATAATATCGTTAAACCCACAGTGACGCTAGGCTCTTGTGATTGCTTTGTGTAAAACTGCTGGAAGAATATAGTAATGGGGGACAAGAGGGAATGGTGCATTACAGAAATTAGCCTATTATAGGAAGGTACCATAATGTTTGAGAGAGAGAGTGATCTGTCACAGTAATAGTCATACTAGTGTACAGTACATGAGAATCTGGATTGACATTGTGAAAACCTAACTATAGCATATGGCTCAGATGGTAGCACTCTGCCCTCTGAGTCAGAAGGTTGTGGCTTCAAGCCCTACGTCACATAGTCAGTCTGAGCTGATATTTCAGTTCATTGCTGGGAGCTGATCCTGCATTACTGGAGGTGCCGCCTTCGGTTGAGATGTTCAACCAAGGTCGCAAATGGGTTGCTGCATTTGCCCACAAAAGAAAGGAGAGGGTTTGAGACGCCCTCCTGACGTGGAAGGCGCGACACCAAATGGAAGGAGTGTTATTATTATAGTCTGATGACATTGATGTTCAAATAATGTGAGATGGTAATACAGAAAGGCATCAATTGGATGCTTGCTGCATCAGTGAAAATGTGGCAACTTTATCCTTGTCTTGGTTCGTTTCATGGTTAGCAGTCAATTGAACAGTCAAGGTCAGCCTTCAGCCTCTCTGCCCCCACCCTTTGGAAATCCATCCCTCAGTCGCTTCAACTCGCTCCCTCCCTTGCCTCCTTCATGGCCCGTCTCAAAACCCTCCTCTTTGACTGCACCTTCGGTCACCCTCTTACCCCTATGGCAAAAGAACCAGAGGGGAGATGAGGAGAAATTTTTTTACACAGAGAGTTGTTGTGGTCTGGAATGTTCTACCTGAAAGGGTGATGGAAACAGATTCAATAACTACTTTCAAAAGAGAATTAGATAGGTACTTGAAGAGAAAAATTTGCAAGGATATGGGGAAAGAGCAGGGGAGTGGGATTGATTGGATAGCTCTTCCAAATAGCCAACACAGACCGAATGGGCCGAATGGCCTCCTTCTGTGCTGTAATATTCTATGATTCTATCCTAGCCCTCCAGCCCCCCACCGCCCTCTTGATCCAAACCCCCAGCTCAGGTCCAAATCCCTCACTGTCCAGTGCCTTGGGATGTCCTCCCGACGTGAAAGGCGCATTACAAATGTAATTTTGTTGTGGTTGAACAGTGTGTGGTAAGCATTATGGAGCCTGCTTCTGTAATGGCCTGGAGCGCTGTCCTGGTTGCTTGTGTCTCTGAAACAAAGTTGTCAGCGCAGCTCAATTTCTCATCAAGCCCCACGCATGCCAGCTTCTGATATTCATTACTTCTTATTTATTTTTCAGCTGTCTTTTCTCCGACTCCACAAAGCTTTCCAAATTGCTCGTAGCACTCCTTGCCAGAAAGCGCCCCACTTTCATCAAAGAGTTGCTTTTATCCCTAACTACAAACAAACTTTTGATGTGCAATCAAATGCTAAATGACTTATTAATATGAGTTAGCAGTTTATGACTGTGTGTGTTGATCGAATAAGAACTAGTGACTTAAATAAATGACTTGTGATGTTCCACAGGGGAATGATGCTCATTTTTTAAAAATGTTTTATTCTGATGTTATTTCCAAGAGTGGGTTAACTGAAGTGTTTTGTTTTCTTCCTTACTCCTTCTCTTCCCTCGCCCCACCACACGCCCATATCGGGAGACGCTAAGGCCAATTGTTGCTCTCCACCACTGTCAAGTATGAGAGCTAACTCTACTCAGACCATGGATCAAATCTTTGGCCTTCTTGATATTTTTGTCTCACTCTTCTGCCCTGCAGCATGTTAGGCGTCAGCCTAGCTCAATCGATGGCACTCTCACCTCTGAATCAGAAGTTGTGGGTTAACGTCCCACATTGAAAGTAGTCTAGGTTGATGCTCAGGTGCAGTGCTGGGGGACGATGCATTGTTGGTGGTAGAGTCCTTCAGATAAAACAATAAAATTGGTCATTCACTTCATGGCTGTTTGTGGAACTTTGTTGTGTGGAAAATTGGTAGCTGTGTTCACCTACAAATACACAGTCATGATGTCCTACAATAAAACCTGTGAAAACCTTTGAGACCTTTTGATAAGGCAAGGATTATTATAATTTTTGACTTTGGGTTTTGAGGTCAGTCTCTACGCCGTCAATGAGTCTGACTACCACTAGGGGGCAAAACACAGCATTTTTAAAAATTCAATGGACATGCTGGAAAACAATTACTTAGGTCAGGGAACAAAAGTCTGAATATAGTTACTGACTTGAAACATAGCATTATTGGTTGAGATATATTAGTATTCAAATTGCTATTGAAATGCACTTTGAATAATGCAAGGCGTTGAAATATTTCAAGACTGCGAAATAATTCCCCTTGTTAGGCTCAGGGAACCGCAGTAATTCCCACAAGCAGACTGAATGGAAATCTGTCTTGAAATGGAATAATGGATCTGTTTACAATTCCCAACAAAGTCTTTTCCACAAGAATTAGCCACTTGCCTTTGTCAGAGTACTTGGCACCGTTATTGGTGCAGATGAAATATCTCATTGAACTTTTTCATAACATCTGATTAACACATGGCAGGCAAAAGCAAACACATCACACATGTGAATTGTGTAAAGAGCTATGTCTCATTGGTAACATGCAAGTATGGAAAGGGGGAAGGCAGGGAATGGAACTAAATGGATAGCTCTTCACAACTTTTCTTTGGTCAGCCAGGTGTCTGACACATGCATAAACCCATCACTATGCTTAAGAGTATCCAAACCAGACTGAAAGTTCCAGACATAATAATATAATAATCCTTGATTTGAAGTAGTGCTTTTTCACTTTGTCGAGATGTCTCAATGCATTTCGTAGGACTTTACTGTGAGGTGCAGTCACTGTATATTCCTAGGCAAACAAAACAGTCAATTTGCACACAGCTACAACAACAAATTACACTTGTAGAGCGACTTTCAAGTCAATGTGCCACAAACAGCTATGAGTGACCAATTTTATTTGGGGGGTTTGTTGGCCAGGACACTAGGAGAAACTTCTTTCTCTTTTCAAATAGTGCCATGGGATCTTTAACGTCCACTGGTACAGGCAGATGGGAACATGCCAGTTCAACATCTGATCTGAAGGATGGCACCTCCAACAATGCAGAGGCGAGAGTGCTTGCCATCTACATTTAGAAATTTCTCTGTGTCTTGAATGGAATGTCCTATCTCTCCCTTGGAGGAAACTCATCCTCGTTATCTAATTATGGAGAGTATTAGGGACAGGTTGGTTGGTGGCAGCCCATTCGGCCATTTGATCTCACTGTTCCAAGTACCCACCCTATTACTGCGTCAAGTTGATTCATAAATGCTACGGCATCCTGGCCTCAACCACTTCTCCTGATAATCAGTTCTAGGTGTTAATTAACCTCTGGGTAAAGAAATACTTCCTAGTGTCTTATATTGAGGTACGTGCTCTTTGCAGCTCTTGGCCTGTACCTCCTTGTTCTGCTTTGTTGGGGTATCTGAAAGTATTGTTCTGGGTGTCTGAGGGCCATGTCAGACACAATAGGCTAAAATTCTATGATTCTAACTTGTTCCTAGATCCAGATGCCATTGTTGAGCGTTACCTCGTCCAGTGGATACCGGAGTCCTGCTCGCACAATGAGACCAGAGGTTCAAGCAAAGCCATCTCCCACGTAGGTTCCAAAACACTGCCTCATTTCTGTTTCATGTGACATCGAGAGCATTGAAAGTTAATATAGAAAAGTTAATTGTGAGCTAAATCAGTCTGCTGGGTGCATTAAACATATTGGGGTCCAATTGTGAGTTGGATTAACACTCATGGATAAAAATAGCCTGCCCGTCTTAACCACGTGCAAACCAAGGTATGTGTGAGTGCCCTCAACTATGAAATCGACAACCGATGTGATCACAGTACAATATAATTTATATTTATACAGTTCTTTTCCAGTCAGGAGGACATCCCAAAGCACGTTCAAGAGCGCTGGCTGGGCACCCAAGCTGAGGGTGGGAGCTGATGGGAGTGGGGAGGGAAAAGATGACTGAAAGCACAGTCAAAGAAGTATGTTTTGAGATTAGAGAATCATCTAGATCCTTTTATGCACTGAATTAGCTGATCTCAAACAGGGGAGCGGTTAGGATGGTACATTTGGTCTCAGCATCCCAGGGTTATGGAGGAGTAGATCAGCCAAGGTTCTTGTTCCCAATATGAAAGGCGTAATATAAATGTAAATGTGTATTGATCTGTTCCTAATTCCAATGCGAGGCCTGAAATTCACCTAATCTTACCCGTTAGATCATTTTGTCTTAAACTTTAAAGTCTTGCAGGACTATGGAAAATTCTTAAATTGAGACTCAATTTACTATTATTTATTAAAAGCTGTACCTGTTGCAGCTACACTTGCAACCAAAGGATCCAATATGAAATGTAGATTGACAGACAGACATACAATCAGACATTTCATCTTTATCTATGCTCATCTGGGAGGACTCCTGTGGGAGACTTTGTTCTTCAGTTTCATTTAATGGGCCTTCTTTCTTTTTTCTAGCATTTTCACTTATCCTTGAAAGGTTTGATTTTTGCTTACGCATCTTTATAATAATAAATATAAATGCATAATTTATAATCACTGGGACATCCTGAGACATGAAAGACGTTTTAAATGTGTCATTTTGTTGTTGTTGCCGCGGCTCAGCTTTGTCTGTGTTTTTTATTTTGTTCCCGTGACTTGGCTACGTGCGTGCTCTGTGACGCAGGATGCCAAGCGCCACTTTGACTCTTAATTTGGAAGCTGTTTTTCTGCAGTTCTTATAAAGAACCAAGCTTCCAAATTGAGACCAGATCGACAGATTTTCCACAATTCTGGGAACCGTTAAATGTCACATGTTTAAATGGCCTTATAGAGTAAGACTGGGTGGAATTTCAGACCTCGAAACACAGCTATGATGGAAAGGTGCATGTGTGAGGATTTCAGATAATGGTGACATTGGGTTCAGCAGCAATGTCCCCTTTGCTTGAACAATCCATTAATACTCAGACCAAAGGCACTCACATGAACAAAGCCCAGTTGGGTAGGGTAATGTGTGTAGCCCAATAGAGAGAAAATGGAGTCAAAGTCCTTCAGGAGTGAGAGGAGGGAAAATTGGAGGAGGATGGGTGAAAACAAGTGGGATACATTGAAGCCTGTTTTGGTGCAATTCATTCAGAGCTATCATCCATCTGAAAGATCGTAAATAGATTTTTGTTTCTTCTCCATTTATTTCTAATTGTTAGCTAACAGCATGAAAATATTTCTTGTGATTTGTGATTCACTTGTAGTCTATCTTCCAGCTGTAGAATACAAGGCCAACCCACTGCAATTTGTTATTATATTTTTTTTTACCCACACACGCAGGAAAACTACATCATTCTTCCAGGGCTGCTGTTTTCTTGCAAATACAAGGTTACAGTCCAGGCGATGAGGCCTAAGGGTCAAGGGAAAGCAGAGACTGTGATGTTCATTACTCCGTCTTGCGCCTCTTCTCGAGGCAAGGGTCAAAAACACAACGTCTGTCCCAGCGAGGGTGGTGAGTGCAGCTTCTTGACTGACATGTTGCTCTTTTGAGCTTTCCATTAATATCTGCAGGTGTCTGCAATGTGAACCATGACCCCGGGAAAGCAGAAGGTAATTTATGGTATTTAGTTGTCAGCTTGACGCACTTGGCAGCACTCTCACCTCTGACTCAGAAGGTTGTGAGTTCAAGCCCCACGTAGGGTTTTTGAGCTCATAGCCTTTGGCTCATAAGGGCTCTATATGTGTGCAGGTGCCATCCTTTGGATGAGATGCTAAATTGAGATCTCGTCTGCCTGTTTAGGTGGACATTAAAGATCCATGGTACTAGCTGAAACAGAAGGGAGACTTCACCTCGCTTGCTCCCTAACTGCTTTCAAAACTCATTCACTTTACTTGCACTTTCAGCCTCTTTTCCCTCCAAACCCCAACGTTAAAAAGTATTAAAAATTATTCCTTTTTTTTCCCCTTGGAAATAAGTGTCTGCCAAAGCTGTCAACTAGATGTTCTGCTGTTAGTCATTTTGAAATGAACGCCATGTGTTTAAAAACTGGCAGATGTTCTGTGAACCTGCAAATTTGAGAAGTTTCTTCTACTTGCTGGACTGGCTCAGTTGGTAGCACTCTCGCCTCTGAGTCAGAAGGATATGAATTCAAGCCAACATCAGGACTTGGTACCCATTTAGTCTAAGCTGATAATCCAAGGCAGCGTTGGGGATGTTGCATTTTCAGAGCTGTCTTCCTTCGGATGAGACTTAAGATGGATGTCTCTTTTGCCTGTTCAAGAGGATGTTAAAGATCCCACAGCACTATTCGAAAAAGAGACAAAGAGTTTCTCCCAGTCCTGGCCAATGATTCCGCAAATTAAATCGATCGCTCACTTCATCACAGTCTTAAGATTGAGGGTCAGCCTTTTCGAACTGAGTTGAGGAAACACTTCTTCACTCAGAGGATAGTGAATTTATGGAATTCTCTACCCCAGAAGGCAGTAGATACTCAGTCCTCAAGACTGAGATTGATAGATTTCTAAAGGATAGAGGGATTAAAGGATATGGGGATAAGGCAGGCAGATGGAGTTAAGTTAGAAGATCAGCCATGATCTTATTGATTGGCGGGGCAGGCTCGAGGGGCCAAATGGCCTACTCCTGCTCCTAATTCCTATGTTCTTATCTGTTTGTGGTACATTGCTATGCGCCAATTAAATTGGCTGCCGGGTTTGTCCACAAAATCTACGCAGCCACAACACTTTACAAAATATCCTGTGAAGTGTTTAGCGACGTTTCAATGACAAGATAAAGCACTGTATTAAATGCAAAAATGTATTATTCTTACTGTAGACATGATATAAAAGCACTCATCTTTCACGTGCAAGGCGCTGTGTAAATGTATGCTGTTGTTTCTGTCACAGCCACCAACGTTCCCAAAGTGCTTGTGAAGCCGGAGAACTTATCGGCATCATTCATAATTCACATGGGGAATATTACAGGACATTTCTACTGGAGGATATCGCGAGCCCAGCTCCATCAGCCAGTCACAGGATTCCAGGTTACATGGGCAGAGGTGACCACAGAGAGCCGGCAAAATAGCTTACCAAATAGCATCATATCCCAATCACAGATACTGCCTCCAGTAAGTGACGTTTTGGACATTATTCACTTTTTTAAAAAATATATATATATTCCCCCGCCAAATATTTTCCACTTCATCGTTCCCTCTTGTGAGGTTCCCCCATTTACCCAGGCATCCTTCTTCATCCAGAACAGCAGAGACTACAAGCATTGCTCACTACTGCAAGGCACATCTCAACACGTATCTCTTTGACCGCACTTTCAGTCATCTTTTCCTTCCCTACATCCCTCCCCCCACCCACCCCACCCTTGTTGTTTTCCGCCATTAGGTCGTGTGTCCATCCAGCATTTGTCAAGCCAAGTAGCTTGAGTTGTCTTCCTCATGTGAAAGGTGCTATGTAAATGCAAACTGCATTGTAAGGTTAATGTCAGTATAGGATGGGCGCTCTGACACAATGGAATTCAATTCATCGCTGTTGTGGGATGTTGCTGCGTGTAAATTGGCTGTCAGATTTGCCTATGAAATGTGCATTCACTGTACTTTACAGTAAAATACTGTAAAATTACTTCCTTTTAATGCGAAAGGCACTGTATCAAATGTAAGGATTATTATTATCATAGTCAGCAGGCTAGTGTTTAAAAATTACAAATATCAGTGAGCTCATCCCTGGCTTATATTGTTTTTTGCCACATTTTCCACACCAATATGGTAACCTATCGTACATATGATATGAGAACAGGAAATGGATGGTTCTGTTTCTACCAATGTTCTTGTGTGTTGTAAACACCAAAATAAATAATAGCATTGATAATTCAAATGTAATTACAAAGATAAAACTCCATGCCTGAAAAATAATAATAAATTGGTCACTTTAATCCACGACTGTTTGTGGGACACTGCTGTGTGCAATTGGTTGCCACGTTTCACCACAAAATATAGTCAATTCATTTTACAGTATATTCTGTGAAGCGCTTTGAGACGTCTAGAAGATGTGATAAGGCGCTATGTCAAATGCAAGGATTATTATTATTTATTATAGTTTCAGCTCCCCAATAGACTGGTGAGTAAAAGTTGTACCTGATGTAGCAATAAATTAGTTAAAGCTTCAGAGCTTTCTGTAAAGTGTGATTCAAGTGAACGTGGTTTGTGCGTAGCAATGTCTCACAAATGCATAGAAATTCTCAGCTTGGTTTGAGTACTCTTTAGCACGGTGATAGGTTTCCACATGTGTCAGACACCTGGCTGAGCAAAATACAAACAAATAAAGAGCCAGATGGTGAATTACCAAAATAAAAATGCTCAACCAAATAACTTTTGAATCATCCGAAGTATGTAACTGCATATTGTTCTTGGAATACATACTATGAAGTTCTCTCTCACGCACGCACGCACGCATACATACACACACACGCACAATCTCTCTCACTTTCAAACTACACAGTCACCACACTTTACGGTAAATCCTGTGAAGTGCTTTGAGACGTCCTCCCGACGTGAAGGGCGCTATGTCAAATGACCTACCAGTGACAGCTTTGTTTTAAAGATTTCAAATGTTCAAACGCTGAAATATTCTGTTCCTCTTTTCAGGACCACCACACGCTCATTGTGCCCAATCTGCGGCCATCAACATACTACAGATTGGAGGTACAGCTGCTCACTACAGCTGGAGAGGGACCAGCAACCGTCAAAACATTCCAGACACCCAGCTTAACTTCCTCTCGCTTACACAGTAAGCACCGCTCTTCAATACATTCTGACTCTTGTGTCACTTTTGTTGCTTTACAAGCTGCAGATTTTACATTACTTTGCTTGTCAAAATTTTCTGTGAGAGGCTGACATGCGTAAATGCAAGTTATTGTTGCAATTACCAAGTGATCATTTTTTGGGGGAAAAATTACATGAATTGCTTTTTGGAAGCCGGGATAGTTGTGCTTTGTTCCATCTTTGCTGTAGAGCGAGAGAGGAGAAAAAACAGCGCTGAATCCCAGCTCAGTCTATGTCTCACACAGACAGGCTGGGAATTGATGCCTCTGAGGCAAATGGAGAAGCAAAGATCACAGACAGATAAAGGGCAAATGGTCTCCAAACAGTCCCAGGCTTCATGCCGTGCAGCTTGGGTATATCACAAGCTTTAGTTATATAGAGGCTTACTTACCCAGGCTCAGAATTTCACTTAGTTTTTACTTTTAAATTGAAAATTGTGGAAAATTCTTCAATTCCTGCTTAATTTTGCAACACGGTTCTTTTAAGAAGTGTGGAAAAGTAGGTCCAAACGAATCCTGAATACGTAAGAAAACAGGAACAGAAAGAGGCTGTTTACACTCAGCCATGTCCCACAAACAGCCATGAAATTAATTACTAATTTTATCTGGGGAATCGTCAGCCAGAATACCTGGAAAAACTCCTTTTACTTTTTGAATAGTTTTTGGGATCTTCTAAGGCCACTTGAGCAAACAGACTGAACTATGCAGTGATCCCCCGATATTGTATTGGAGTGTCAGTCTAGACTGTGAGCTCAGAAATACAATATGGGGTTGAATCCACAACCTTCTTGAGTCAGAGGTAAGAGAGTTACCCACTAAGTTTTGCCCAGAAAATATAGTCAATTCACTGTATATTCTATAAAGCGCTTTGAGACGTCTCGAAAACGTGATGAGATGCTTTATCAAATGCAAGGATTATTATTGTTTATTATATACGTTTCCATTGTGGAAACTTAGTGTCATGGAGGAGGTTAAGAGAGTGCCTTATGTTGTACTTCTGTCTCAATCTGGTAGTTCTGAACTAAACTTTTTTATTTTTATGTGTGTCTCAATAATCTGTCTGTCTGCCTCTGTCTAGCAAAATCACACTGTATTGAAGTGACATCTGAACACTGTTAGGGAAGGGCGTTTCTCCCATTGTCATGACCAACAATCCTCCAGATAAAATCTGTTATCCACTGTTCTGGGGACTTTGCTGTGTGCAAATTGGCTGCCACATTTGCCTACAATACTGTGAAGCACTTTGATAGAATATCCTGACTTGAAAGGCATTATACTTATAGCAAGATTTTATTATTATTTTCATTACGAAGTTGTCACCCTTGATCTAAAGACCGCCCGCAAAGTGAATCATAATTACTCGGAATACACTGTCCTTAAAAGTTTGGCAGCTTGACTTGAAATCCTGTAAGCCATGCAGGGCTGTGCTAACATTCCACTTCTCTCAAGAACCAGCTTGTTTCACATCCCTTTAAACATAAAATCCATCACCTTGTGACCTACATATTTGTCTTTCTGAAGAGCAAAGTTGTGGCTTCAGTGTGGTTCATGTAACAGTGTTTGTGGAGTCCCATAGCATGGTGGTTAGCGTGCTCACCTCTCAAGTGAGAGGATCTGGGTTCGATTGCTGGGCAGAGGCGAAACCTTAGGCATGATTCCTTACTCCATATTTCTCTGTTCACCTAGCAGTAAGTAGGAACCCAGATATTAATCGATTGACGGTAAATTTTCAGGGGTAATGATCCCTCAAAAAAAATCTAGTCACGCAATACACAACTGTTTGTGGCACACTGCTATGTTTCACCCACAAGCTGTAAAATCAATTCACTTTGCAGTATATTCTATGAAGTGCTTTGAGATATCTCAATGAGGTTATAAGGCATTGTATCAAATGCAAGGATTGTTATGATAATTATTATTTAATTTATGGCTGTTCCCTTATTCCCCAGTGGATTGATTTTAAGATCCTTGTTCTGACCTTCAAATGCCTCAATACCCCTGCTCCCACCCTACCTGTGCCATGTCCTCCAGTCCCCACCCAACCTTCCACTCCACAGGCTGTGCTGTCAGTCACTATACTCCCCTCTGGAACACCTCATCTTCTGCAGCTGTAGCTCAGTGGTTAAAGCACTCGCCTCGCAAGCGAGAGATCCGGGTTTGATTCCCGTCAGGGGGAACATCTGTCTTATTTCCTTATTCCACACTCCTTTGTTCACCTAGCAGTAAATAGGAACCCGGTTGGCGGATATCTTTGTTGGATGTTATAATTTGTTCCAAAAAAAATAAATTGGTCACTCAATCCATGACTGTTTGTGGGACACTGCCGTGTGCAATTGGCTGCTGCGTTTTTCCCACAAATATACAGTCAATTCACTTTACAGTATATTCTGTTAAGCGCTTTGAGATGTCTCGAAGACGTGATAAGGCGCTATATCAAACGTAAGGATTATTATTATTATCTTGTATTCCTTCCCTCTGTTTTTCCTTCTGAAACATGACTTGGTTAACCATGCTTTTGGTCATCTCCCCACAATATCCCATCCTCTTCCAGATCCCATTATCTGAGACATTGTCCTACATGGAAAGGCCCTTTTACAAGTGTACATTGTTGTTGAATCTCCCGCTCTCTTTCCTCAAGGTCCCCGAATGAAACATCACCATCAGCAGAAACCAGTATCCGTGAAATACTGAAGTCACTTGAGGTCGACCAAGGATGGAAAATGTTTAAGGACTGTTGACGCGAGGAGAAAAGCAATGCCTCACTTCCTCCCCCTCTCCAAGTTGAGAGGAAGCAAAAGAATGTGTCCCTTCGAGAAGCCCCTTTTAAAGCTGATCAAACCAGTGCCATAAAGCTTGTATACTTCAATGTAATCGTCACTGTATAATGTCTTCAAAGGGTGGCTCTGAAATTGTGCTATTTATTAACTTCTGTTTCTGTTGAATGTGCTGATCCTCATTATATATGCAATGATGTGTGCACATTCCCTCTGGATGCTGCTATCAGGCAGGTGTGTTGGAGAATGCGACTGAAATCCGCATATTTTAATTGGGAAATGAGAATCATGTCAGTTACTTAATCTATTGCATGTAATAAAGTTATTAAATTATAATGTAAATGAATCTTATCAGATGTTGGCAAAATATGGTTGCATGATAGATCCCGTCAGTGTTCAGTTTAGGCATGACTTCCATGTCTATGTTACCTCTGCTGAATATATTAACTTGACCGCAGTTTACAGAATAATTAACAAAAGTGTATATGTACAAATTATTTACTTTTTAATATCGGAATGATGTAGTATTACTGAATTGGTTGTAGAAATCGTGTTCCTCATTGCAGTCCTTGTTTTTTTTAGAACAATATTTATTAAGCAATTTTGCCTGTGTATTTTTTTTGTTCTGTTTAGTGCGTCTGTGTCGTCTTTGGGATAGCAAACCTCTTGTAAAGACATTTTGTAAAAATGGAATTGTAAATAGAGTTTGTTGTAAGTTACATTCCCCAATATTTTCATGTTAGGCTTTGTACATAGTGTTGAAGTATTAAAGACCTCTTTTTCCCTCATCCACAAAAATATGGACAAAGTGTACAACCAATCGCAAGTATTTTGTATCCATTATTTTCCTTTTGATTAACAAATATTGGGTGGCTGCCTAGCGCAGTTGGTAGTGCTTTCCACTGAGTCATGAAACTTGTGGGTTCAACCCCCCCCCCCCGCCAGAGTTCTGAGCTCACAGTCTAGTCTGACACTCCGGTACAGTGCTGGGGATGCCCTGCATTGTCGGAGATGTCAGCCTTCTGCCAGGATATTAACCTGAAGGCCTGTCTGTTCAATTGGATGTCACAGTACTCCAAAGAGAAGGGAGTTTCTCCCAATGTCCTGGCCAATGATTCCTCCAGAATTGGTCATTCACTTCCTGGCTGTTTGTGGGACACGGCTGTATGCAAACTGACTGCTTCATTTACAAATAGTCACCACACTTCATACCAATTACCTGTGAAATGTGTTAAAACTTTTCTGTCTTTCAAATGCTTAGGAAATTAAGCACTTGTAAGACAGAAAAGTTTTAACACCTATTCCTGCGCACAGAATTTCAAAGTGAGTCATTTAATAGCAGGAGTTGCTATAAGTGAATTTCACGTTTTCAAGCCATGACTCTTTACCCATAGAGTAACTCTCTGATCATCAACAAATATGCTAAACTCAAGTGCGTGTTATTCTCTGATCAGCTAATTTAATAAACTTGGGAGTTTAAGCTTCTAATGGGGAAAGTCCCTCTGTAAAATTGTTAAAATTGGTCCCTCCCTTCATGGCTGTTTGTGGGGCATTGTTGTGCACTTTACAATAAATCCTGTGAAACGCTTTGAGACATTTCGAAGACAATAAGCTGTTATCAAATGCAAGGATTATTATAAACTCTCACAGGCAAGACTGGTAAATTTATGGCCTGTGTGATGTGTTATTTATCACATGGACTAAGCTGACGTTCCAATGCAGTGCTGGGGGTGTACTGCATTATCGGAGGTGCCGTCCTTGGGATGAGACGTTAAACCGAGCTCCTGTATGCACGTTCAGGTTGACGTTAAAGATCCAAAGGCACTATTCAACAAGAGAAAGGAGTTTCTCCCAGTGTCCTGGCTATCAATCCCCAAATAAATTGGTGATTCATTTCATGGCTGTTTGTGGGACATTACTGTTTGCAATTGGGCTGCTACCTTTGCTAGTAAAGCGCTAGTAAATTCCTGTGAAGCGCTTTGAGAGTTCCTTCTGATGTGGTAAGGTACTATACCAAGTGCAAGGATTATTATTATTACTTACAATGGGTTAGACATGCCTCCTCTCCCCACATCTCAAGGTCACTCCAATCAGCCTTTGGAGGTTGGTCTGACCATCGGTGACAACAATAAATTACATTCAGGTTTAACGTCACACAGCTTGACTGGGAGTGACTAGTGTTATGCCATGGTTTTGGTGTACCTTAGTGTTTACATGACAATTACAACAATTTGGATTTCTATAGTGTCCTTCTTGCAGGATAATGTCATGGAGCACTGTACAGTGACAGGTTTGGACTCTGAGCAAGGGAGAAGGGAGAGGTGAGCACAGGTAGGTATTAGGGTGGGAATTAAGGACAGATAGTGAAGGGGTGAGGCAGAAAGATTAAGCAGGGCGTTCCAGAGGTTACTTCCATTTGCAGTTGCCTGCAAATAAAAAAATAAAGGATTATTAATTAATACAGCCGGTGAAGTGCTTTGAGATGTCCCCCTGAAGTGAAAGGCGCTATATCAAAAAGCACAAGGATTGTTATTATTAGTTATATGCCAGTGACAGGGATAACCCCTATCACCACTTTTTACAGTTATTGGTGCTCAATCTGTGCATAACAGAGCGTGTTGGAGTATTTTGTGACTCAGTAATAGGGTGCCACAAACAAGGGAGCTAACAAGAGCTGAACTCCAATCAGCCCTAAATGCTAATTGGGCACCAGTAACAATCCATCAGTATAAAGCTTGGGGGCTGGAGAGCAGCAAAGAGATGGATGTAAAAAGTAGAACTTCCTTTTTTAAAAAAATGTCCTTTTTATTGTTAAAACCATTGTGCAAGTTTTGTTTTCTGGGTGTCACCCATGCCCTCATACAATGCCTTACACTGCAGTATTAAATAAGGTATAATTAAATTTGGCTGTGCACTCTGGTTGCCAATTGAAGGACTTGCTTGTATGACTCTTGAGCCAGCAGTAACATAACATCATCTATTGTGCTGGCCTTTATTTACATGGACCAAGAAGGAATCATTTACCTGGAGGGTCATCTTGGAATCACCAGACCAGGATAGGTATGCATCGGCATTCATTGGAAAAGTTTTAATCACAATCCATCACGAACTTTAGGACAAGAAAACAAAGCCAACGCAAGGAATAAATCCAGATGCCATACTTTGTACGGCAGCAACTTTAATTGAAACGAGGACACCCTTTATTTCTGTCTTGTGTTATTGTGACTATGCCTTCACAGTGGATGGAGACTTCAAGAGAACAACCTGTGGGATAAAATGTTGTTGTCGGAACGAAAACAATTCTCCGTGCAAAGGTCAAGTTTTCTATAAAGTGGGTGGCATTGGTTTGATTTCTTTAGTAGGAATGGAATAATTTATGATGATGACAATAATAATAATTCTTGCATTTGATACAGCTGCATTTAGGTCGGGAGGATGTCTCAAAGCGCTTCAAAGGATTTCAATGTAAGGTCTAGTGACTGTATTTTGTAGATGAATATCTATCAGAGGATAGTAAGAGACCCCCCCCCCCCCCTCCCCCCCACTGAGATAATTTAACAGAGAGAAAAGTGTGTATTTTTCTTAGGTGAACACAGCAGCCAGTTTGCGTACGGAGATGTCCCATATACAGCCGTTTAATGAATGACCCTTTTTTTTGTTTTGGGGGATTGCTGGCCAGGTCTTTGGGAGGAACTGCCTTATCTTTTCAAATAGTGCCGTGGAAACTTTAACGTCCACCTGAACAGGCAGGTGGGACTTCAATTTAGCTGGTCTCTGAAGAACAGATTTTGCAGTTGATGAAGCAGAGAATGGCACCACATTTTGCTGTTAGGTTCTGTCTTCTTTCCGGAGGCAAGGAGTTCTCTGCAATGTTTTTAATCCTGTGTTTATCATTTCTTCCTGGCTTAAGTACTGTAATTTGTGCCTTGGGGATTAGTACTGATCAGTTGTATAAGACCCAAAACCATTATCATTCTGTCTGCTCAATCCTATTGCCTGCTGGACAAGCAGTGGGAAGCTTGCCAGACAGTGCTTACTGCTTGTTTAATGCTTGTGAATACTAAAGGTATTTGGTGGTAATCATGCATTTTTCTGCATTGAATTAACTTGGTATGGTGCAATCCATATTAGCTCTCAGAAGGGAATTTGAAAGATAAGTGTCAGCCTGGCACAGTAGTAGCATTCTCACCTCTGAGCTGGAAGGTTGTGGATTCAAACCCCATGTGGGGACTTGAATCACATTGTCTAAGCTGATACGCCAATTACAAAACTGAAAGTGTGTTGCTTTGTTGGAGATGCCGTCCTTCAGATGAGACGTTAACCCAAGGTGCTGTTTGCCCGTTCAGGTGGACATTAAAGATCCCATGGCAGTATTCAAAAAGAGAAGGAAGTTTCTTTTCTCCCGGTATCCTGACCAACAATCCCTCAAATAAAAAATAAAAACAGAAGTCGCTGGAACCACTCAGCAAGTCAGGCAGCATCTATTGGAGAAAGAAAAGTGAGTCAATGTTTCAGAACTGATGAAGATTGACAGATCCCAAAATAAAATTTGACACTCACTCCATGACTGTTTGTGGGACACTGCTGTGCGCAAACTGGCTGCCCACAAAATACAAGGTCAATCCACTTTACACTATATCCTGTGAAGCACTTTGTGATGTCTCAACGACGTGATAAGGCGCTATATCAAATGCAAGGATTATTATTATAACCAGAAATAATTTGCAGGTGTATGGGCAGGGGGGGAAAGGCAGGTAAATGAGACTGAATGGATTATTCTTTCAGCACAAGAACAATGGAAACTGTAAACCTCCATAGCAGACGGTAGAATGGGTATTCTAGAAGGATGATAGTGAATAGCCGAAGAACCTTCTTCATCCAAACCAATCTTGTGAATGGCGATTCATTACCACACCATGATTTAGTGGGATAGATTGGCTCAGGGGGTTAATTAACTACTCCTTTTCCTCTGGGAACAGAGTTTAATAGTAACTTACATGTGTGTAGCACCTTTCATAAAAAAGTAAACCCTTTGAAATGGTTTACTTAACATAAATGATCAACAACAACAAGATTATATTTGTATTGGGCCTTTCACGTCGGGAGGACGTCCCAAGGCGCTGGATAGAGTACAGCTTTTTAGACCCGAGATGGGGTCAGTGGGGGGGAGGGGAGGGGAAGGGGGGTGGCATGGTCGAAGAGGAGGGTCTTGAGGTGGGACTTGAAGGAGGTTAAGGAGGGGGTGAGGCGGAGTGATTGGGGGATGGAATTCCAAAGGTTGGGGGCAGAGTGGCTGAAGGCTCTCCCGCCAATGGTGGGGCAGGTGGGTCAGGGAACGTGGAGCAGCCAGAGCCGGCTGATCGGAGGAAGCGGGCGGGTTGGTAGGGGTTAGGAGGTCGCAGAGGTAGGATGGGGCGAGGCCATGGAGGGCTTTGTGATAATAATAATCGTTGCATTTGATATAGCGCTTTTCACGTCGGGAGGACGTCCCAAAGCGCTTCACAGAACACTGTAAAGTGAATTAACTATTTTTGTGGGCGAACGCGGCAGCCAAGTGCGCACAGCAATGTCCCACAAACACTCGTAGATTGAAAATGATCAATTTATTATTTTTTTTGAGAGATTATTATTGGGTGTGTGGAGTAAGGAAACTTGCCCAAGGTTTCGCCCTCTGCCTGGAATTGAACTCAGGTCTCTCGCTTGCAAAGCGAGTGCTCTAACCACTGAGCTACAGGACTTGTAGGTGAGAGCCAGAATCTTGAACTGAATCCTCTGAAGGATACGTAGCCAATGGAATCAGGCGAGAATGGGGGAGATGGGGTCACGGAGTTTGGTGTGGGAGAGGACACGGGCTGCAGAGTTCTGGATTATCTGCAGCTGTGGAGGGAGGAGTTGGGAAGGCCGACAAGCAGGGCATTTGCATAGTCGAGCCTGGAG